TGACTGTATGTAGAATTAGAGCCTAGTTTTCATACAGTGATGATAGTCAAATTGTCTTTCTTTGTCTTCTCTATTCATTCCAGAGATGCTCATGTGATATTTTTCACCACCCCATGGGGCCCATGGGCTTTCCATGCGCAGAGTTCCCCACAAGCCAATTTTTATAAAACCACTTTCCCCATCTATGGGGAGTCTGGGTTTTTGAACTTCAGCTCACCCCCGACCATGGGCACCCTTCGCCCCACCCATAGGGCGAACAGAAAAGATAATTCATTCAAATTATATATGACAGAATTTCTTGATCTGTTTTCTGTGATTTTTTAAATTGACTTTTTTAAGAACAAATCTATTTAGTAAGTTGTTTATAGTGAAATTTCAATTATCAAGTGTAGATTCAAATCACTAATCGAAAATCTACAGACTGCAGACGTTTGACATCAATAATTTATATTGTAGTGGCGCCTCTGATACGATTTTCTAGCAATTTCTATAATAAAAGATAACTTTTCTGCTTTTACATTTTATCCATAAAAAACCATTTTACTGGCGGTTAGAAAATTGAATAAAAATACTTCAGAAATCAATATTAAAAAAACATATAATATACAATTCGATGCATCTTCATCTCCTGATTTTAATAGTGAAAACTGCAGTTCTCTACCTTCTTTTTATCAAAAGTTATTTAAAAGAAAATACTTGCTAGCATTCATGTTGTTGTAATACATGTGAACAAAATAGATCTTATCGAAATTTTATTATTATAATATTAGTTGAAGTATAATCATATACTATAGAAATATGGAGCATTCTTTTCTCTATCAAACTATATAGAGAGAAAGTTTCTTAAAACGTGTTATAGCGAATTACAGAACTTGCACCACTACTTTTGGTATACTCTAAGTATGTCACTGATGGAAAGATGAATACAGAAAGTAAAGTGAAGAAGTAATGGCGGCTGGAAAAATGAAAGAAATAGTGAAGGTAACTATAAAGTTATAGAAAGAAAACGAAAGAGTGAAACGTCGTTTTCATATTATTACTTGAATACGAAAGAAAAACAACGGAAAACAAAAATGAAGAACAAAAGAGAAAATATATAGGAAGAACGTGTAACATTCTGTATTATTTGTACGACGATAAGACAATTTTTACAATCTCGTCATCCATTTTTTTCAAACGATTTCATAAATGATAAAAGTTCATTTAGACCATGGGGTTAAAAGATTTTTCACCCCATGGTCCACCCCATGGGCAGGGAAATGAATTTGCGAAAATCCACCATTGTGGGGAAAGATGATGGGGTAACATATCGCCCCGTCCCCATTTGGGGCGTCACCCCATGGGTTCTCCATGGGCCCCGACCATCTGGGTGCCCCGACGAGCATCTCTGATTCATTCGTATCAGAAAGTCATTGAATAGTCATAGAATTTTTCAAAAAATAAATTTTTATCGAAAACTCGATAGTTCTTGTTTGAACTTTGTCTAAAATTTATTTTTGCCATTACTTTTTAAACAAGTGATCAATAAAGCTCATCATTTTCAGATTTTCATATTGACTTTATGTGTAATGAAATGAGACAAAGAAAATTCAATTCTGAGAATATTCACAGACGCATCTGCCTATTTTTCTCACAAACTGACTCTTAAGTACTTTGTGATACTGCACAGGAACTCTTGCCCTCAAATAAGATTTCTTATACTTAAAAAAAAAAAGTACGTCATCGAAATGTCTATAGAAAAACAGAAGTTGTATGTCATTGTCTCAATAAGTGTGTTCAGCATGTTTTCTTTGTCAACGTAATTTCAGAAAAACTAAATGCCTTCTAATTTCTTTATTTTCTTCAATACGTCTCAGAAAATGTATCGTCAACTGAATTTATTATTTATTATATTTCAAATTCTGAATTTCGTGCAATGTTTAATGTACATTTCTTTTTCCTTTCTTTTGTAATGAATACAAAATTGACATGAAACTATTATACATACTGTTGTGTTGTCAATTTTGTTTCTTCTTGTACAATCACCTTTGATGGTGTTGTTTTTGGTTCTGTTTCATGTTGAATTGAAATTGGCGTTGTTGATGAAGATAACTGTTGTTGTTGTTGTTGTTGTTGTTGTTTATTTTGACGATTTTTTTCTATTTCTGCTGTTAATTTACTCATAGCTGTTTCGAATTCAGATTGTGTAAAATCGATATATAATTTTTGTCCACATATGAAACCTAACCATCCATCTGGATCATATTTTTCTCTCATCATTAATGGTATAATACATCTTTTACGTTTACGTGCATACTCCGCTTCTGCTTTACAATTTTCACTACGTTTATATGTTTCAGACATACACATTAATATAGTATTGGAACTTTCTATAGCTGATGCCATAGAATCAATTATAGAACCGTGCATTTTATCTCGATCTATCCAAACATTATAATGTTTGTTTACTGTTAAATAATCAGAAATTTGATGTGCTAAATCCATATCATTCCATGAATAACTAATCATTAAATCATATGCATCATTATTTCGTTGCTCATTATTATTATTATTATTCAATGTTTTCTCTTCATTTTCTAATACCCATAAAACACTATTTGCAGCTTTTTTTATACGTTCAACATTTCTTTCTGCCATTTCTTGATCATATTCACATTTATCACTTTCTATTGTTAAAATTGATTTTACAGTTGTCATAAATAATTGATTTTGTTTAAGAATTTGTGCCACGTGGTCATCAAATGCTAATATGCATATTAATTCTAACGCATCTGATTTATTTGTTTCTGAATACGAACGACCATATTCATCCTGATTATATAAAAATTTCATAATAAGTGATAAACCATCTTGTTTAATAAATTCTTCTTTTATTTGATCATGTTGTAAAAAAGCTAAAAAAGTAAACGACACTAATTCAGTTTAAACGAATCAGATAGGATAACTGATTATTTGTAAAAATTCTATATGAATTAGTCAGTTATTTCATATAAAGAATATTTGATGGCTCAGTGAAATATTTAGTAAACTATTGTCCATATATCATAATATATTTCTGTAAAATAAAATTTCATGATCCTCAACAGCATATTGTAGCAAAAAACAGACTTCCGATTCGGATTCTATGAGATCTATTCTATTGCAATCTTCATTCAAATTAAGTTTATTTTTAACAAAAAATCGAGTTTTTTCTTTCGAGCTTTTTATGATTATTTACAATCGAAAGGTAATTTTCCATGGAGGACGCAGAGTAGGATAGCCTTAATGAGAGAAAGTCACTGCAACTGCTACTTAGCGAAAGGCTTTACAGTAAAGCAATCACAATATCTAATTCTAACTTCAATAATAACAAAAATGAACTATAACAAGTAAAATTTCTATGATAGTAAAACATATTTTATTTACCTTTCAGTGTATCAATTAATTGTGTACGATAATCATCATATAAATAAGATTGTTTTTCATGTGTCTCTTTTAAAAATTCAATAAAAACTGATGTTATTTTATCAGGTTGAGCCAATTTTCTAACATCATTTTCACTCATCACTAATGCTAATATATTATAAGCAAGACGTTGTATTGATTGAGAATTAACCGTTGTTAATCTTAATATTGTTTCTGCTATATGTTTATCTTTTATAACTGAAATGATATTCGAATCACGTACACAAGCATATATCTTGGATAATATACTATAAATAAATCTCGCTGGTATACTTGTTTCATTTAATGAATCCAAATTTTTTGGAAAGTCATACTGCCAACTAAGTCCAATCTCATAATTCTGGTTTTCTTCGCTATTATCTTCTAATAGAAAACCATCAGGCATCTTATTGAATAATAAAATCAAATCATCAAGGGCATTTAAGAATTGTTTTGTTGTATATAATCTTTTTAAAATTAGAATAATATACATGAATGAACTTCTAATTGATTTATTTTCAAATTCATTTGATATAAATATTAATTCTTTTAACATATATTCATAATATTTTGACATTCTATCAAATAATTCATTATGGATATCTTCTTTTGCACTCAAAATATAGTTTACACAAGTAAATAAAAAAAATTCATCTTTATCATTGTATATATTTGAATCATTTTGAATATGTTCAAATGAATTTTTATAATTAATTGAAGTAATATGTGCTAATAACAATTGATCAACTGGTTTTAATATAGTTTCTAAACAATCACGTTCTCTACCATCTGTCACTGTTAATTTAGTTATTAATTTCGTCAAATTTGAATAATATTGATTATCATACGTTTTTATTTTTAAACTATTTTCTAAACATATTTTTATTGTATCTATTAATGTTGAACGATTTAATATCATGTTTAAACCACCAGATAGACATCCATAATATGTTCTTTGGAATATATTGATTATTTTTGAACACATTAATTTATCATGTTCACTTAAAGTTAACCATTTATCGAATAAATCTGTTAATATTGATATGATTTTCGAAAATAATTTATGTTCATTAAGACATGCACTTCTTAATATTTCCGTAGGCACTTGTATAATAGCATCAATAACGTCATGATCTATGATTGATTTTTCAAGATAACCATCAAATGTGATAAAACGTATGTAATATGTTAATATAAAATTATCTTTTTCACTACTATCACTCTTCGTTACAAGTTTTATTATGGAATCGAATATTGGTTTAAGCATATTGCTTTTGTCATCATCAAAAACATCTGATAAATATATTAATCTATGTACCAATGTGTTAAAAATATCTAAAACTTGATCATTTGATGATTTCAATGATATATTATCAAAATTTATTTTTATTACGTTTAATAGTGGAGAATAAAATAATAATTTATTATATATGTCTTCATTCCGTATATCACGTTTCCAGGAACGATATTCCAATGTTAATTCTTCAATTATCGAATCCAAAATATCGGCCTCATGTTCATTTAATCCATTCATACACCATCTATCAAGTAGATCGATTACTTTTGATCTTATTTCTATAAATAGTTTATGATCAACTAAATTCAATAACATTACATTAGGTATGTCGTTGATGGTTGATAAAGCTTTTAATATTATATCATTTTTTTCATTATCTTCTAATTTTTGTATTTTTTCATATAAATCATCAAAAATAAGAATATATCTCTGAATATTAACATCAGTATTCGCCATTTTGTTGCTTGTTATAATTGAGAATTTGCAGTTGAATTTATATATTATAATTATTATTCAAACGTAAACAACGATACATATAGCATTTACAATTCGAAAAAAAGCAACGACGATTTTTGATCAAGGCATAAACGATGTTGTATATTCATATATTTATAATCAAACCTCATTAACCAAACGCAATGAAGTGGAAAAAGCACCTTTACTATTCTCGTATACACTTACTTTTACTTCTATAAGAAGCACGTGTTTTTTATCTTTATTACACATATTTTTGTTTACTGTGCGAAATATAGAATAATTATACTGTGAACAGCAATGAGGACCTCCCAATATAAGAAAAATATTTAAAACTAAAACTCTACGTTTAAAGGTTTTCAAATATACTAAATCTATTGATGATGTCAGTTTTACATACAACTTAAGATTTTCAATTGTCACTAATCGATTTTAATAAAAGTAATATGATTAGATACAAGATGTTCCAAAGTTCCTGAGAAAAGTTTTTGCGAATAACTCTGAAATAATTCAAGTGATTTCAGTATTTTCTTTTATAATATTATAGTTTCTTCTTTAAAGTTTTATTCTGTACATTTCCAGATAAATGCTTGTGCCTACAAACGTTAGAACACAAATAGTTTTATTAATAGCCAAATTTGAATATTCAAATGGATTAGTCAACAAACATAACGTCGGATATTTGTCTGAAACTAATCCACACCTCACTATTAAAACTGTTATGAAATCTCCCAAATTAAACGTGTGGTGTACCATGTCAAGAAATCAATTGGTTGGACCATTTTTCTTCGAAGACGATACTGTTAACGGATGTGGGTGTCTGTTCTTGTCTCATACCCATACCCCACACCCCACCCTAAGTTGCTTTCTCTTACACAAGAAAGGAATAAATGTTTGGGTACAATAATTTTCGTACGAATATATCCAGGGAACGAATTAATCATCGATCTATTGATTCTATACTAAAAGAAAAAAGCAAAAGAGTGAGTTATATTTTTTATAAGAAAAAGGAGTACGAGGGTGTGGACTCATATTGAAATATACTCATACTCGACACTGACACCCACACTCAACTCCTTTCATGGGATTCATAGCTCACTAGGGCATACATGATGCACGTAGTTTCGACTCAAAACCGATTTATCAGTTCTGTGTGTTTTCTTGTTAGGTGCAATGTCTTCTAAAGGCTCATTATATAATCGCTGATATTCAGCAAGAAACAAAATACCATTTAGCACGTATTTTATATTTATAGCGAAATTGCACTTTTAAATTGCATGGTGTGATATTGTAGTCGTCGAAATATTTACCGACCCTGAAATCTACGTGCGAAAATCTTGTGTTTCTAATCAGAAATCAGCGATTCTATGATGGGGCGATTTCATATCTCTATGTCTCGTTATCCTGACAGAAGAGAAGAAAGATATTATCTAATTACTGCTGGACTTAATACCATTCGGATTCCGATGTCAAGCAAATTGAATCGAGTAAGGCACACACTTCTGCAAAGCTCGAGCCACCCTGACTGTTTTTTTCGTCACTAACTATCTCGAATTGTATGAAACCCTAAATGACCTTGCTAGGGATTCATCAAATCCAGTCAAATCCAATTCTAGAATTGGATTTGGTGCATCCCTAGACCTTGCTAACCGAAAGCGATACAACAACATTTAGCAAACACAGTAAATTGTATCATTAGAGCTATGAAGTGACATAATAATGGGCATACGTATATATCTATACGTAATGATGTATTTTCAATGAACAACTCTGACAGGACATTGTGAAGGAAAGACTCATCCCGATTTCACGGATTTATTCCTAACAAATCATAAATGTTTATGCTTTAAAGTATCAAATCTTTCTGAATTAATTAAATGTAGTTTAGAGCAAAACTAAACCACTGTAAGAATTAAACACTTCGTCAATGAATGAAAACATAACAATGCCGTTATCGACTGTAAACAGTTAATTTAATTGGGTTTTAAGCAAGTTTTCGCGTAAGAAGTGCCGGATCCCCACCATTGAGGAAATTGAATATTTCGACCGGAGAAAATGAAAAATATCAATGTTTCACTGAAAACGTTACCCATATCTGTGGCTATTGATAAAAGACGTGCATAACGGTCATACAACCAACGACTCATACAAACATTAGAAATAAAACCAATCAAAAGCCATGTTAGAATAGTCCCACCATTAACTAGCATCATTATGTTTCCTGGAATAAGTATAATTGGAATATGAATGTATTTCAACCAATGAATTTTCTGAGAAAACTTTCTCTTTAAAAACCAGAATGGTATTGGGAGCACTGCACCAATTAGAATCAATGCCAACAACGAAAAATAATGGCTCAAACGGCCGATGAGTCTAGTTGGACCTAAAAATTCAACAGTCTTGTAAGATTTAGAAAATTGAGACCAATAGGAAACACGTACCAATCACTGAATAATACTGTCCAAGGAGAAATAACCACTGAGCGCGGCGTGTGCATATCGATCCAGGATTAGGATCTTCAGGGTTAAATCCTTCACACATAACTGTCGTATGATTGTACAAATGATTCGCTGTAAGAAAACTAACTATACTGCCTACGATTGTGCATATAGTTATCGTGCTGAACATGGTTCTGGGTGGAATCTTCATGTAATGGCTCTGTTTTAATACTGCAATAAAGTTACTAGACTGTCCAAATGTCCACTCAATGTAACAGAAAAACGTGATCGTTGCCAATGGTTTGTTGGGCAGAATAATACCACTAAGACTAAACAAGGCCATTTCCAAGCTTAGCTCTCCTATACCAGTGCTACCACCAAGAATACCAAGAGGCAATATACGCACAAGTCCTATAGGAATAGCAATTAACAAATAATACCATGAAAGTAACTCAGAGGAATGACAGACAATCATGCTAATCACCATAGGAAGAATAAACAAAATAGTAAACCACCATTCGGGTGTTTCATCATAGCGAGCCATTAATCGGCAATGTATATCGTTGTCACGATTTTTTAAGGATGTACAAAATTGTTTCAAAATATCTTTCCCATGATAGAGTATTGTGTGTACAAGAAGTGCTGGAATAAAAACAAACTGACATGCGTAAGATATTACATCTGAAAGTCCAAAATACACCAATCCATAGTGTTCATAAGCAGTTATGTTCAAACGAAAATGATTGCTCATTACAGAATTATTAACAAGGACTGTCGACAAATTGTAGAAGTTTCCATTAGACTTATAAAGACCTCGACCGCGAATGGGAAAATTTTTAGTGTTCCATACATTTGAATAGTAGAGAATTGGTGCAATGATCCATGATATGAGAAAAAAGCCAATTCCAAGATTTACTTGAGCCCATCCGGGCACAACTAATGATGATGTAATTATGTATTGTAATCGATCCCATTTGAAGTTCAATGCACCAATTCCAAATGTCCATATTCCGGTCAGTTTGTTAAGAAGAACATTATGTGGTTGTATGAAACAAATCCATGCAAACGTGGCTAAGATAGGCATTATATAGTTCGGTAACCAGCTGAAGATAAACTGACATGTGAGTGCAATGAAGAAGAATTGTAGACGACTGAATTTCCACTTGGAACTGGAGTTCGTATGATTATCTACATTCTCATCATGTAAAGTTCGAAATAAGGCTACAGAGGGTATGACTGTTGGCCAAGTCAATAATGAAGGCCAAACCAAGAGACGACGCATGATACCTGAAAAATCTTCTAGATCTTATTAATGCTTAACAAATATTTAGAGAGTCTGCATTACCTGCGATACCATATCCAATGAGTTGTGATGAGAGGATAAAACCAAAGGCTAGTATAGGATGTATCGATTTGTTATAATAAACTTTTTGTACATCAATTGGATTGAGTGCATAACTGCTGTTTGTTAAGTTTGCCATTGCGACTATCAGAACATGTTCTTTTATTGTAAATGGACCAGGATTAAATGAGAAACAGTAGTTCGTATTTGGCCATATACGAAATGATTTTTTGGGTAATACGAATGCAAGAAATTTATCCAAGACAAATGACAACAGAAATATATGCGACCCATCTAAAACAATTCGTTTCATACGATAGTGAAAATATGTATTAATAATGGTAAACGAAACGAGAAAGCCCAAGCCAATGAACCATACTCGAAATGTTGAACACAACATGTTTGGATCATCGTCGTTCGATACAACACCGTCGACTTCTTCATACCAAGTATATTCAGCTTCGATATATTCATTATGTACATGTGGTGCAGTAGTTAAACCTTGATTCCCATTTGAGATTTGTTTCCTCACATTCTGTTTATTGTCGCCCACTTCATAAGTTTTAAATTCTAGAGTATCACTTGACTGCATCTCGAGCTTAATCTGAAAAACGTATGTACTCTTCGATCTTTCGGTGCCCGCAACGCAAATTTCAAGTAAAATTTTTTTCGACTTTTTTTTACAACATCTGGTAGAGCTTGAACTGCTGACCACGAATACCTATTTTCTAGCCTTAGTGAATGTTTACTTCCAACGGAAAAATACGAAATACTCGAAGGATGTCATTTTCACCAAAAAAAGCATCTTTTCCAAAATGTGCGAAATTTTCTACTTCGTTCTTTTTTTCGGCTTCTTAAAAAATTTTTTCAGATTCAGCATCAAAAACTGAGTACAGACATGTTGTTAAATCTACACCAGACCCAAAACTCTATTGGTGATGGCACTTCGAATCGCGCCGAGTTCACTATGTATAGGTCGATTTTGTAAATCTATCTAGTTTTTCTACGTAAGTGATGGAATCAATTATTTTATCTCATTCTACTCGTCATACCATTGGCTATAAAGCAAGTAACGCTCGTCCCTGTGACTCACTTGACCCTCGACTGAATATTCGACTCTTTCTATGTTATACACAGCTTCGAAGTCTTCAATAACGTTAGTATTAAATGTTTCAAAAGGATGAGTGAGTAAGCGTGTGTGG